TTGAAATCCTCCCTTCGTCTCTCTCTTGTGCATGCACATTAAGAATAAGGAGCTGGAAATTTGGCAGCATGGATATTTTTGGTAATGAATACTTTGATAGTCACCAAACAGGGACCTTTCACCTTTATCTACAGTCTGGTTTTGCATGTCTTTCCTAAAAAAAGTGCTTTATTGCAGTATTGAATTATTGTTGGAAGAATTCTGTTATTTTCAGGAGACTAATATCTTATTTCTGCATTCAGATTCACCTTTTAGTGGCTGGTGTCTAGTCATTGAATGGTACCTGTATCAATCTCAAGGGATCTATAAATATCCAGCTAAGCTTGGCTTTTATGCATTCTGGGCCTCATGTCTAGAATGCACAAACAAATTAGTCGACCGCAAACCACACCCACGCGGGTAAATAACCACAATAATGTGGTTGTGTTGTTGTTGCTCCTATTTCGAGTTTTGCCGTGACTCACAAGTAAATGCACTTTCTGGCCATGTGCGGAGCAGTCTGGTTTATGGGCTTGTGACATGAGCTTGATGGGTGCAGCTGGAGCCATCAACACAAGGTCATCTTCCTGTGTGAGGCTCATTATCTGGCTTGTTGCAAACAACAAAGGGTTATTTATGTGTGTGCAAAACTATGGGCACTTCCAGAGGGTACTGAGGCAGGAGTCACTTCACCAGCATGGGTCTGTTCTACCCTGGGAGCCAGGGTGTCTGACACCTTGGAAACTCAGCCTTTGAGAAATAACAGGTGTTCTGCCCCAGAGAGGGTAGCTCTGCCAACTGGAGTTTGCTTGTTAACTTGGGGTACTTTGATGTCGAAGCAGCCCCTTATCCCCCTACGTGTGTGATTAGATTAACTGGCAATCTTTCTTTGACATGAGAGATCCCATTCATTCATTGGATATATGTGGGAGACCAACCTAGCACTTGACTTGAGTTAACTCCCTGCTGGGCGATGTGGCGTCAGGCACCCAGGCTGCTAGGCTGCCCCACCCTTCTAGGGTTCAAGAGACTGTGTCTCATGCCTGGGTGTGACTTCCTACAGCCCCATGGGTGGAGCTATGCTCACCTGTTCCTTTGTAATATAACCCCTTGCCCTGTTTAGGGTAGAATCTTCCATGGAATTGCCTTGGGTGTGTCCCCTTCTCTTACTGTGCCCTTGGGTGTGGCCTGCCCAGGTGTCAGTCAACCTGCTGACAGTGGACATCATGAAGATAGACTCAGCCCCCTGAAACCTGACCCCTTGCCTCATTTGAATAGTTTCTCCTCAATAAAAGGGGTCAGCGCGTGCTCTCTCTCTCTCTTTCTGCGGACCCTTAAGGTCAGAGGAGCTGTCACAGCAACCCCAAAGAAAAAGGTATTTGTGTCTCTTGTGTGGTTATTTTGCACAGCCCAGTTAGCCCAGTTCAACTGGAGTGACCCTGAGCCTTTAGTCGCGAACAGAAACCCGGCAGATATATATGTTCATTGAGTGCCCATGATGTGCTAGGGGGACTCGGATTGCAGGATCCCCGGGTATGCTATTCAATGAATGCCCCCCTGCTCCACCAAGTCATGGACGGAGCTTTTCCCTTAACTTTGTACACTGTTAACCATCCTCAGGTAATGCTTTGTGGATCCTTAAGGACAAGAATGGAGAGTTAGATAGTCTCTTATCAGCAGAGGTCAAGGGGCTATAGGCATGTCTGAAACCTGAAAGCCATTTAAAAAATTTCTCTTAGTTAATACAGGATATAAGATTGAACAATCTGGATTTACTTAGTTTTGACTTTTTTTTTTTTTTTTTTTTTTTTTACTATATAAACACTGTAAGTACTCAAATCTTTCTTCTATTACCAAACCTTTGTCAGGATGGCTCACTAGGAAGAAAATTTTGATGGTTTCCTTTTGAGCCCTCGCCCATGACAAGGACAGGAGGAGGGTGAGCTTGTGTCTAGGGTGGACATTACCATGGGAAATGGAGATGGGCGAAGGCGAGCATTTGTTCACTTCCCACTGGTGGTTGTACCTTGTCCTGACCTGACAGACATAAATGAGCTTTTCAGAGGTGAGGACACAGGTCCTAGGCCCAGCCCCTCCAATTACATGTTCAGCACAATGCCTCACGTTCTGAGTGCTCAGCCCACAACAGTGACTGATGTTCTCATGATCATTATTAGCCACGTGGCTTTGGGCAAGCCGGGGAGCCTCTTTGAGCCTCAATTTCCTTATTTGGAAAATAGGGAAAATGTTCTGAAAATGCTTTGTCGTGTTTGTGCTGTGGGAATGTATGGCAGAGGCTAAGTAACAACAGTCTGTCTTTCCTAGCTTTATTTTTTCAGGAAAATAGTAACCCAAGAGATCAAATAAAAGCCCTGTGTGGAACATACAAATTCAAGAGGACAGCATGGCGGGGGGCACACAGATGGAGGTGAGGGAGGAGATGCAGGCGGCAACCTCACAGACAGGGCGCTTGGGCTTTTGTCTCCTAATTGATCTAATGTGCTAAGTGAATTTAATGTGGGTTAATTAATGATGCTGTTGGTGGGTGGAATTACCTAGGCAGAGCCTAAAACAGCATCAAAGGAGCAAGCAGGCAGGTGTCATGGGGGATAATTGAGGGAGCAGGGCCCAGAAGAAAATCTGCTAAGGGGTGTGCAGGGGGCCACTGGGCAGGCCAGGGGGAGGTGAGGGGAAAGCCAGCCAGCCCAGGGGCTGAGCCACTTCACTAGAGAGGCTGGCTGCCAAATGCCATCCTGTTTACAGCTCCTGTGTTTGAATTTCAGATTTGCTTGAGTCTTTGAAGCTGGGTTCCTGGGCATTTCTTTGAGAATGAATTCTGTTCTTTGGAAACCACAAAACTCATTCTGTCAGATCCAGTACCAGCTGACCTTTCTTCCATCTGTGGTCCCTTGAGACCTCAGAAACTTTTTCACTAGGAGACACTCTGGACTCTAAGGAGTCAACCTTGTTTTGCACCCTGTGAAGTAGGGGTAGGAATAGGTCTGTCTTCCCACTCTGAACAAATGTTGGTTAGTTTCCCAGTGGGAGACACCATGCTAGGCATGAAGAAGAGGGAGTCCTGAAACTTCTGAGCTTCACAAATATAGATGCTCCTAAATGTATGATAAGATCATGCAGAGAGATAAGCACACGATAAGTTGAAAAATATCGTAGGTTGAAAATGCATGTAAAAACACTTACCCCAACAAACATACTAGCTCAGCAACACAGCACACTGTCGAGTATCAGTGGTTTCCCTGCCAACTCAGGGCCTGCTGGGAGCTCAGGCTCATCGCTGCTGCGCAGCATCTTGACAGAGGCCCAGACTGCAAGTTGCCAACCCAGCAAAGAATCAAAATTCAAAATTTGGAAATGGGATTGTGCCTCAGTGGTAGAGCATTTGCCGAGCATGTGTGAGGCACTGGGTTTAATAGTCAGCACTATACATAAATAAATAAAATAAAGGTCCGTTGATAACTAAAATAAATTTTAAAAAAATTCAAAACTTGAAGAACAGTCTCTACCGAATGTGGATTGATTCACACTATCATAAACTAAAAAAAAAAAAAAAATTGTGAACTATCGTTAAGTTGGGGATCCTCTAGGTGTCTTAACAACATGAAAATCCTGCTTACAAAAATCAGAAGCCAGATAGTGGCCGGAAATTTTATTGAATTGTTCTTCCAGAGACCTGTCCTTCTAGGATCACACTCCATCCTTTCTGTCACAAATTAAACTTGTGCTGCCGCTGTACCGCCTGGCTTATTTAGGGGTGGGGCAGGGGACAACAGATACCAGGGACCTCCATCTTCTCAGAGATAAAGAACACACATGGGCCATTATTGGGACAAACGATCATTTCCCAAATTTGACAAATCCTCCTTTTTTTTTTTTTTTTTTTTGGTGGGCTCTGTTGAAATGTATCTGTAGGAGTTTCAAGTGGCCATGACCTAGAAATCTCAGAGCATCAAGCTGGGCAAAAAAACCCAGTCTCTGTCATAGATTTTTGAATTGCTTCCTTTTCTTCTTCAATCCATTATGGCTCTTTACCTCTTTGCTACTTTGAGCTGCAGCTTCACTCTGGCTTTGAAAGTGTCTCAGAAACGCCACTTTAGAACCACAGAGTGCAGCCAGCTGGAGAGCCGGAGGAGAAGCTGGTGTGGCGGCTGCTCCTCTCTCTCTCCCGCTCATTTCCGTCCTTGTGGGGGCAGGTGTCCCACCAACTATGCCCAGTCACCTGACTGCCCACGGCGCCTCCTGCTCCACTAACCTATGGGGTCACCTCTCTGGTTGTTTTCACAACTCCCCTTGATGTTGATCCAGGGCAACAGAGCAGGAGACACCGTCCAGCCTCACCTGCTGTGCCCTGCCCTAACATCACAAACCCTGGAAGTGCAGCAGCAGGAGCCACAGGATGCTGGGAAGTCAGAGCCGACTCTTGCACATGATCCTAATCTACCCGTGGCCTGTCAGAGCACTGAGGGGATCTCTTGGCTGGGAATGAAAACCTCAAGCATCACAAAAAGCCACCGGCCATCCTCAATTCGTCTCCTCCTCCACTCAGAGCTAGGGCATCAGCGTCTCAGCCCTGATTCAGAACCCCACCGGTAAGGTCTCTTAGGACACGAGGATTGTCTGAGGGTGGGAGGCAGCTCCATTAAAGTCCCAGCTGCTACTCACATTCCCTGGGGAGCCAGGCTCAGGGACAAACCAGAGAAACCCACTTTTCCTGCACCTTGGAGACAAGCATCGTTTTGAGAGCCCAGATCTTAACAGCCGGCAAACCAAATGAGCAACCAACAGTAAAACGGGGGGTTCTGATGTTTTAGCCAAAACAAAGGAACAACAGGTCTGAGAACTGGTAGCACAGACACAGAGTAATGGGTAAAGCTTGTTCAAACGCAACCCAAAAATGACATGCATTTCAAAAATGCACTCAGGCTTTTTCCTAGCCAACGACATCTCGGTCTCAGCCACAGCCCAAGTGTCTGGAAAACCAAACGGAAAGGATCAAGTCTTACCTGGTCCTCGGGCGAGGTCAGCTTCTAGTATAAGCAGGACACGGGTCTATGAGGAAAGCCAGGCAGGTCTTGCGTGGGGCGCCAGGTTCACAGGTGGCCGCCCGGACTGCTCTCACAAGCAGGTGCTCCACGTCCCAGGGATCAACAGGGGTGCCAAGGGCCGGGCACACTTCTGCTCTCAGCCCCACTTCCTTTCTGTTTTAAAGGGCTCCGGGGAACTTTTCTTGACTGCTCCTTGTCCTGTCGGAGAGTTTGCAAACAGTTCTCGCCGAGGGGGCTTTCCCTCGCGGCAAACTCACCTGCACCACCTAGAGGTCACTCCTGGCACTGGAGAGGCTGGAGCCTGGGCCCCGTCGGTCTGATGCTCCCACTTTCCTGATGCACCTGGCTGTCCTGGACTTCTTGCCCCTGAAGGGACCAGATACAATGTATAAAAATTTTTGATTTTTTTTTTTTGAGCGGTGGTAGTGGTGGTGGTGGGGAGTCTTTCTTCTCTCAAAACAACCAGGGCCTTTGGGCACTGGAGTGCTAAAAAGTGAAATTCGCATTAAAACATCATTAATCAAAACTCGTTCACAGAAGGACCCCCCACTGAGATGGCTACAGGCATGGGTGCTGCTGTATCGACTCTGTCTGCATTTAACCTGGAACATGTTTCTGCACATTCCTGCCCCTTCTCCCCAGCCCCACACATCTATGGCAAGTTTTGAGTCACCCTCTTCCTCTCTTGCAGGAGACCTCAGCCCACCATCATGCTACTGCAGGCGGCCCTGTATGCCCCATGTAACTCCAGATAAATGGGTACACCCCATATAACTTCATATAACTACAGATAACCATGTATACCACACATAACCAGTTAACCAGGGGAGTGTTTGAAACATGAACATTTTGAAAGGACATACCCTTCAGTATTGTTCAATTCCTTCTCAAAAATAAAATGATTAGGGGAAAAAAAAAGTCCAACCTTAAAAGAATAAATTCTCCTCTCCTTTTCTTCCCCAGTTCTCCTTATGCAGACAAAGAGAGGAACAGAACAACTCCTCCAGGCTAGATTTCTATGTTCTTCTTTTCCAACTTGCCCACTCTGCCTTGGATTCACATGTGAGAAGACTAATTCTACCTCCAGAGAGGTGAAACAGAACCGCATTTCCTGACTTAACCCGACCAGTGTGGACAGTTAACCCAGTTACTGTCGGCTCCCAAAGGAGAATGTTAACTTGAATTTTCAGGTTTGGTAAGACGAGCCCTCACTGAGGGTTTGTGATACATTAAAATCACTGATATTATTAAAATAAGAACCTGGGAGGATGAATGGGAAGTGCCCTGGGCCAACCATTTCTATTGCATATAATTCTGACCTTTTGGCATGCTCATTTTGGTAAGTTTGCTTGAGGATGGAGATTATTTTTGCTGTAATTTTTTTTCTACTGGAAATTAAATGGTGATTTTAAATTTACCCAAAGGGGGAGGAGAGAGAAAGAGAGAGAGAGAGAGAGAAAGAGAATTGTTAAAGGTAAGGAAAAGGACAGGATAAAAAATTAGAATGTGCACAAAATCTGGATAATTTAATAGAAATCAAAGCAGTTTTTACCCTCTTTTTGAGAAATCCAAAACATCATGCCATTAAATGGGTATATATAAAGTTTTTATAATCATCATATCCAAATGAAATTGAGTATACAAATGAATTCAGTTGATTAAGAGACAGGATGAAATAAGAGAGCTTATTACTCATCTTCATCGTTTAAGGTGCCAGAGCCTTGCAGATTCATGATTTTCTGTTCTGCACATTTCCAGAAAGTCTGTGGCAGAAATAGCAAAAGGTTACTAACGATATTTTAAAATAAGTACATGATTCAAGATTGCACACCAAGATTGGGCAAATGGAGTTTCTCTGAGCTGTGGAGAATGGGGGCATAATTTAGAACACATGCTTGGTACACATACATAACTGGCCTGTCCTTCCTTTTCATCACATAGGCACAAACACATGGCCATCCAGGAACCCCTGCAGAGGGCCACGCTGGGGGTGGTGCTGAACTCTACTGTGCTGCAACTTTGGGGGTGATTTTGTAGATTTAGTGGACTTCCATGCCTGTGGAAAACACGCAGGGGGGATGGGGGATGACCTCCGAGGAAAGTGAGACTATTCTGCTCATCCTTATTTAAAATCTGTGTTGTCATTACTAATTTCATTTTGGGTGCGCAGGAAAGAAAATCCTTGCTACCCACACATTCTACCAACACAGCATTCTTCTATGCTAATGTGTTCATGTGTTTATTCATTAGGCAAAGGCATAACAAGTATCTCCACCTGCAGGCACTCTTCCAGGGCCTGGGATGCTTCACAATGAGAAAGACAGCCAAAATCTCTGGCCTCAAGGAGCTCATACTATTTCGGGAGGCAAAGAGTAATCAAGTTATCAAATAAGTATGATATATACTTCTTGGCAGCAATAAGGCGGCGAGGGCTGGAGGCTGCCTGGGTTATATGTGTGTATGTTTACTATGTCACTCTGCTGGTGAGAGCTTCCTGCTATTTAATCACTGTCTGGAAAAGTGGCATCAGTTCAAATACACCTAAACAAGGATGCTCCTTTTCTGGTAGCCAGCCCCAACATTTGTCTGGCTTTTCCTAACAACCCACCACAACAAGCCCACTTTTGGTTACCTGCAGAGTTCATCTCAGAATTCCTTCCAAGAAACGATATTGCTCATATCATAAAATACTCTACAAGTATTTGATCGACACTTTTGATGCCTTCAGTGGGTGCTTGGGAACACCCACAGAGTTATTTAGAATAAGACAATCACAGCTGTCTGTGGCATGGAATTTGCAGCTACAACTCTGAATCAGAACAGAAACTGTTTTCAAGAAAATCCTGCCCCTACCTTTATGGGGTGAGGAGAGCAGGCTCCCAGGGATACTCCTGAGCTTTCCTAAGGAGATGCATTTTTCCCTAGCTCTGTGAACACTGCATGGGCCCTGTCCTCCCCAAAGCAAAGACTGGCTAGTTTTAAAAGTGTTACCTCTGACCCTACTGCCCGCACTTCTCACATCTCTATAGACGGAAACAGTGATTCAAGTCTCTCTTGGAAGCCCCACCTGCCTGCACACAGATGCCCAAAATATCAAAATGGAGTCAGATAGTAAGGAGGAGCCCAGCCAGTAGGTGAGATGCAGGTGGGGGTTCATGAAGGGTGGTTCTTTGCTTGAGAAGGAGGATCGTTACCAGTTGTTGAGGAGGAAAGTTAATTTTATGCTGAGATTTAAGGAGAGAGAAAGAGGGCATTTTGCAGGATGTGTGTGTGTGTGTGTGTGTGTGTGTGTGTGTGTGTTGGTGGGGGGTGTTTCAGGTAGGACAAAGAGCTTGTGCAAAGGCCCGCAGGGAAAAGGGCCAGGCACGCTGGGGAAACCCAGAGAACCTATGTGGCCACAGACAGGGAGCTGGGATGAGAGGGGCTGAGCCTGCTCCGAAAGGGAGACGGAGAGCAGACCCCACAGGGGACCAGGCAAAGGGGCTTGGGCTGTATTCTAAGGATGTCATGATTTGAAGAGAGGACGGGAGCTTTTAAAAGTGGAACAGCCCCTCTGGTAAAGCGAGGACAGGGAGAGACTGCCCCTGGGAAGTGTGTGCACCCTGGGTCTTTTGTCTTTGCTGGCCAGACACAGGGAGGTAAAGTGCTAAGTGCACTCTTAAAATGCCCAGCTGACCTGTCCTCCCCAGCACAAAATCAGGGGACAATTCCAGGTGGGGGACAACTCCAGGCAGAGGATAGAGTGATCAAGCTGGGCTTCCAACTCATTTTATCCCAGGCGGGGAATGAGCTTCTGTATCTAGCTCTTTAACTGAACTTTGCTATACCAACACCCTATTGCTAATTAAAAAAATGAAATCCTGGCTTTCTTTTAGTTTCCTGCCTTAACTCAGGCTGATATAACAAAAAATACTGTGGTTTAAACAACAAATATTTACTTCTCTCAGTTCTGGAGGCTGGGAAACCTGAAGTCAAGGTGCCTGGCAGATTTCATGCCTGGTGACAGAGATGACAGTTTTATCCCTGTGCCTCACGTGGCAGAAGGTGAGGCAGCTGTCTGGGTCCTTTTTATAAGAGCACTGCTCCCATCCAAGAGGCTCCACCTTCACAACCTAATCATTTCCCAAAGGCCCTACCTCCCAACATCCTTACCTCGTGGGGTATCTCAATATACGAATTTTGTAGGGGGACATAGACACGAAAACTTGTATAGTGTTGCCTGGGTCTGGAACTCAGCTGCCAGCAATGATTCTGGTCACACAAAGAAAATGCCGTAATTAACCCTCCTTTGTGGACGGAGAAGAGCTCCACGTCAGGGGGCTTCGTGGAGGGCAAAGGTGAGCTCCCCAGGGTCCTCAGCCCTTTCTGCTCCCTGTCCTGGCCTCTGATGGACCCAACCACCTCCATTATGTAAGCAGTAAAAGTGTAATTGAAATTGATCCTCAGTGAGAATGACGTTGGGAGCTTGGTTAGTGCAAAGGTTCAAATACTAAATCTTTTTTATGACCTGCAATATTGTCATTTAGCTCAACAGTGGAGACCACTAGCATTTCTAATAAAGGAAACCACAGGCATATTTTAAAACCTATTTGCACTGTATCAGAAGAATTAAGGTGGGGGACCGAGTTTAGAGATATGCATTGTTGGTATCTTTAGTCAAAAACTAACACATTCATTGTTTCAGTAGACAAGTGCATATTTCAACCATAAATCATGGCTTTGAGGTAATGGGGTTAGTGGTTCATGGGATTAATATGCTATTACCAGTGGATACATAAAACAGGAATGTGACCCGTAGTTTAAACATATAAAATGATCTCTGTCTATGGGATTTTATTTAATAAAATTAATTAATTAATGGATTTTAAAAAATCACATTTATTGGAACATTTTTTCCAGGTTATCTGTAAGTCAGAAAAAAATCATCAATTTACAAAGGCTGATGTGTCCTTGGGGGTATTTAATTCTCCCTCACTTGTTATCTACCACGGATATGAGCTCATTGTCCAAAGACCTCAAAAGCTGTGGTCAGCAAAAGAAGCTCAGAGTGGAGACAGAGAAGTATTTTAATGGAACCAAACTTGGCTGGCTAGGCTGCCTCCTGCTGCCTGCCACTCAGTCATCCTTAACTTCTCTAGCTCTAGGGAGCGGGGAATCACTGCTTTTCTTACTTCCTTAGAGGTATGTGGGGCCACAGCTTTAGAACTGGCTGAGTGT